AATATATATATATATATATATATTATGTTATTCTATTTTATACTTATTCTACATAGCACATCCATAAAAAGTATGATTCACGCAAGATTATAAAGAAAGAGTGACACTTCAGTGCAATAGATGGGTTTATTTCCCTTCACAGAGAAGGACCGGTGTCCGTTAAAACGGGCACCGTTTATTTTAATGGGAGTGGAAACGTTAATTGCAATGCCTTAATAATATTGAACAATTTTATATAAACAATCTATCCGTCATTGTTGATTTTACTCCGCGGAACCCTTTGAAACTCTTAGCAGAACTGTGGGGCTCCGCAGAACACAGTTTATGAGCCACTATGCTACATAGAACTACGTGTTTTCTGAAACTATTCTTTAATTTGAATGAGTGTTTATGACTTAAAAAATCGAAAGTTAAACATGCTAACATGAATCTAGATCCCTAATTTATATTGTCCAATATATAAAGAAAACGTAAAAATAGATATTGTAAGTAATGCTCAATAATAGAGAGTAATTTGCACACTTTCTTATACTCATTAAGAATTATTTTTGTGTTTTTAATTATCATCATTTCAATCTAAGTTTATTTATAATATCATTTCAGCCATGTGTAACAGTGGAGATTGAATTGACTTTCCCTCTGAATGTTGGTGAACTTGAAGATGGATTGTTCCGGTTAGATTATTTGCCACATCGAGGTTATCCTGCTCCAAACATCACATTTAGTGCCAAAGAGGCTGCTAATGGAATTGTAATCGCTAATGCATTATCTGGGACAGAATATATATTTTACTTGTATTATACCAATGCTTCTTTGATCAACCGGTTGTATTGGTCATCCACTATAGCAACAGGTACATTATATTTTAGATAAAGTTTTACTCAAAAATGTTTGATATATATTTTTCGTTTTTGAAGCTTTTTGTTAATTTTTAGCTTATTATCATTTAATGACTGTGTGATTTTTGAATTAGTATTTGTAAAATATATAACTTTTTTTAACTGAGGTGATGTATGTACATAGAGATCCAGTGGTTTAATCTTAAATAATAAGGTAATGAAAAATTACATATTTTATTGATTTGACCAAATGCATATGTTAACAGTCTACACTACAGTTGTTACCGTACTTCTCCTGTTTTAGGGTAGTGATGATTTTTGTGTCCTTTTGGTCAGGAGAAAGTAAACTTTTGAACTGCAACACTTTTGACACGCTATAAAACGTATATTAAACTGTATTTAATTTAGAAGTAATGCATATTTGATATTGTGATGCTACCCTGTCAGCTATGTTCGTGTGTGTCTGTACACCAAATACTTATAGATATCACGCATGAAAGAATTTGAAAGGGAAAAAAGTGGGGCCCATTACACTCATATGATTCACTATGATGAAAGTAGTTTAACTTAAAAACAATACACACAAATATATATATATATATATATTTATATAATATTAGAAGTAATTATGGAAATGCAGAGGTGATACATACAGAAATCACACACAATGAATAAGTAATTGCAACTAGATGGTCAGTTTTTGTCATTAATATCGTAAACTGTTTCAGAAAATACAAAGAAAATATTTTAATCTGCTTAATGCACTAGTGTTTTGTATCTGCCTTATACATAGTAATATACCTTATTTTTATGCTACCATACGTTTATTAATGTATGGTTGTGAAACATTGTTCTAAATGTCCAGTATTACTTCTTAATAGTCAGCCACGTTTTTTGGCTGTCGATTGACCTTCTCAGTTTCCACATTAGCCCATACAGCCATAATAATATTACTATCAGGACTTTCTATAAGCCAGGCCATGCTGCGAATGTTCCATGGGCTCTTTTACCTCCAGATATTGTTTCATAAGATTTTCTGTTTGCTTGGGATAACTGTCTTGCTGGAAGATGAATCTCTTTCCAACAGGCTTTGTTTCTAAGAGAATTAGATGTACATTTCAGCAGTTATGGTGCCATCAGTTTTGTGTAGACCTTATACACCAATAGATGAGAAGCAATCCACACCTGTATTGTTCACTGTATATGTTGTACAGCGACCATGATATCGTTCTGCTCTCTACCATCGAACAAATTATTATTCGTTGATGCAAACAATTTGCATTTGAATTCATTTCTAAGAAACGCCCTTCTATTTTGGTGATCTCATTATTTGAAGTCTGGTGCCCATTTCAGCTTTGGCTATCTCCCCTGAGTAGTATTGTTCGAACAGTTACACATCACTGAGGCCACTTTGTGTTATGAGTATATTGCTGTTCAGGAAATAGAATTCGCTCCATTACTTATAGCTAGGCCATTGTCATTGTATTACATAAAGAACATACCCTGAGTTACTTAACATCACTTTTCAAAAGTCTGATCTTTCATTTCGGCCACTTCTATTATCAACAGTTGCACATACGCTCTCCAGAATTTCCATACAACCGCTAATTTAATATGATATTTTGTTTTGATCTGTTACATAGAGTAGTCTTCATCAGCTTAAACTTCGATTTCTACTTGTTTGTGATATAGCATATCTTTCCTGTGTGCCATGAATTCATTTACCACACTACTGCTGGAAATAGTATACCTATACTTTTATAGGCTTTATGCTGATGTGATAATGTAAGATTAATTGCATGCATGACTGCTAATCACAATGTAAGCTTCTAACAAGTGACTGTAATCTGGTGTAGTTCATTTTCATATAATGCAAGAGAACAAGCCCATAATATTTTATACCTCTTTTATTCACTGTTAGCATAATTATTTCTAGTAGTGTATCTGTATATTTATTGAAACGGCCATAATCTGACTAGCACTATACCATTACTCTGTTGTGTTGTCAGTTCTGAGAACTTGAAAATTCCTTATTCAGTATTCCATCTTTAGTTGCCACACTCTTATGGAAACTTATCAATAATATTTATATTTTGCTCGCAAGTAGATAATAGGTTGCGATTAAAATACTGATAGTCATTTTCAGACATTATTCTAATCATTACCTGTGATATATTTAATTATTGGTATGTGTGAACTGGACTCGAAATTAATAGCTATATAAAACACCCCCCTAACCTAACTAATGAATAAAAAAGTGAGAACAAAGCAGCCGAAAATATAGTAACAAAAATCAATAAACGTTCGACAGTCGAGAAATGAAACAAAATACATAACTTAAAAGATCAAACTCACATGAGGAGCTCTGTTTCTTGCTTTTATTGTTAAAGACAAAGCTACACAATTTGCTATCTGTACTGTGCCCCCCGCTGAAAGCAAACCGGGGATTTTTATTGTTAAAACCTCACAAGCTTAGTGCTAAGCCTTACATAAGGAAGATGAGTATTTGTATTTAAGGGAATTACACATATGACAAATTAAGTATAAGATAAAGTTCCCAAACTTATGTTGCTAGAGAAACTTGCCATAATGGTTATATACTTTAAAAGAACTTTATCACTAAACTAGATAAGAATATTAGTAATTTCAATAGTAAAAAATGGGAAAAAATATTAAGACAACTGTATGAAGAAAATTGTTCACCAACTGTATTGCCAACCCATTACCAGAGTAAAGAGGAAAGTTTAGAGTTGTTCGAAACTTCAGTTCGACCTCTGGTTGTCGTGATATAGAGTTTGTTATTATGTTAGCTTACATGTTTTTATTTCAGAGTTCACTTACCCGACTGTTAAATTTAGTTGGAACACTGAATAACCTCAAACTTTCTTTTGGCATGAACGAGTATAAATATGTACGCAAATCTAAAAACAAGTGCAAGACGCATTTTGTTGGATGAACCAGAAATGTGGTTACATGGACTGATAACCTGTGAGAAAATCTAATAAGTTTAAGCAATGACCAAAACTGTCTTATCGTGAGCAATGACTAAGACTTTGCTTTATCTGTTGGGTCTGTGGGTTACCAGGAAAATTCTGCAAGTAATCTTGTTCACATCATTTTCCGTGAAATGAAAAACGTAACATCGCATTATCAGTACAAAATTGGAAACATAATATCACACGTTATGTCAATATTAAAAACATAATATGTGCTTTGTTTAGCCTTGAGAGTAAATATTATTTCTCGCTTCCAATAAATGATAATACTCTTTTTATCCCTTGCTACATATCTGATTAGATATGAGAGAAAGTTTATATTCATTGTTAAGCACAAAAGTATACAATAGGCTGTAATCTGCCCACCGTGGGTATCGAAACTCGATTTTAACGTTATAAGCCGTCAGACTTACCACTGACCTACCGTGGGAGGAGGTGGGAGCGATTTCGAATGTGTCTAATTTATCGAGTTGAAACTGAATATAATATAATTAAGAATTTAAGTTAATGGATATTTTCAAATTATGAGTTATTACTTTAAAATATAATACAATTCTAATGTTCAGTAGTGATAATTTTTTAAGGTCATTGTTTTTGTGTTAATAATAACTATATTTGTAATTCTACAAAATACGTTAGTTAATAAGTTAGAAACGGAAGAACATTTCTGTTTATTGAGTAGAGACTGACAATCAATCATTCATATAGCAGTGAATGCCTTTAACTATTTTCTGCTCATTACCATGTGTACTTGTTTTGAACTGAAAAGCCAGATAAAGATTATCTATTCATTTTTCAGTTTCTTTCTTGTATATTTCTTAACTCTATTTACATTTACTATATTTTATTTTCCATAATTTATAAGTAAAATTGACTTAGTTTTACTGTGGAAAGGAAAACATTTAGCATTGAATTGTAGACAACATGCAGGAACATCACAGTATCAAAGGGCCCCCCAGTGGCACAGCGGTATGTCTGCGGACTTACAACGGTAGAAACTGGGTTTCGATACCGTGGTGGGCAGAGCACAGAGAACCCATTGTGTAGCTATGTGCTTAATTGCAAACAAACAAACAGTATCATATGTAATAATATTGAATTGTTTGTTATTCTGGATTATTCAGTATACATTTACTATACAATTCATTCTTTAGTTTCCAGCTGGATTTACCCAGAATATTACATATGTGTCTCGTTAAGGCAATGCTGCCCAGCGATCAATATCACGTTGCATGATACTATATTTACATTTTTATTAACCTGCATTGTTTTCTACAGTGAAATTAGTTACATATGAAGATTTTAAATTCAATTTTCCCTTACTCTTTAGACTAAGGAGCTACCACTTGTAGCAGATGATATTATTTCTTTAATCGTGACACCAGCATGATGCTTTCATCCCTTATTTCGTCATTTATTCATTAAGTATAAGTGTTTCTCTATCACATAACCATTTTAAGATCCACTTGTATTGCTTCAAAAACGTTAGGAGTACAAACGTCTCTAGAACATCTAGAACAAACTTTTGGAAAGACTCCAGACACCGCCTGCATGATGTTTTCTTAGCTTGTATTTTATTTAGTTTTTTCTGGTGAAATATTTCGATTCTGATTTCAAGTGTTGTTATCAGGTTATTGTATAATGAGTTTGTTGACATCGTTGTCCAACTAGATCAAATGTAGATTTTCTGAGATAGGTAGCTATAAGTTGAATGTTTTTTGGGGCGTTTATTTTGGTGGAATTGGCATGATAAACTGGAAAGAATATCAGGAAACTTTTCTGTCTTCTTCCATTTATATTTGATGATTATAGTTTGTGCCAAGTTTGTTTTATTGAGGGCATCAAAATAAATTGGTATCACTAATTAATTTAATTATCAAACTGTTTTCAACGATATAACGGACTAAATTATTATATGTGTCCCAGACTGTCAAACACCAAGTACTAATTACTATGTAGAATCATCCAACTTCACTGTCACTATCAATCTCTAAACGAAAGTTGTATTAAAGATATGTTTGAGAAGTAAGAAATAAAAACCTAACCAACCTTTATTTTATTTTTTATATATGATAAATATGAATGTATCCTTATATTTCGTTGCGAACAAATGGAAACGTCAATGATGAGAGGGTTTTTATAGCAAAGCCACATTGTACATTGGGCTACATGCTGTATCCACCGTGAGGAATCGAACCCCGGATTTTAGCGTTGCACGTCCGTGTACTTACCGCTATCCCACCGGGAGACTATTCAGGTAGTAGAGGGAAGTCCACTCTTGATGAATTTTCGTTTATCCACATTTCGAGTTAATTCCTTCACCTTTCCTGTAGTTTTCTTTTCGTGGATGTTTTATTATATTTTTTTTGGTTTATTTATTTATATAATATAAAATACTAGAATATAGAATAATTTGAAGAGCTATGATATCGACTGTATAACATGAAATGCATTTTGCTTTTTTTCAGAGCCTGATCCTCCCACCAATTTATTAATTAAACCACTTTCAAGCAAAATAGTGGATATATTCTGGAATCCACCAGCAAGAGGAAAATATACTGGTTATCAGCTCTCAATTATCTCAGCATCCGAACAAGATAGTATTGCGATACGAAATATTCAGGTTGACAAGAAATCTACGTCATACAAGATACGAGGTCTTACCCCTGGTGGTACATATGAAATTCGACTTTATTCTGTGTTCAAGAATAAAGAATCCTCGGTTTTTGTGGCTGCAAACTTTACAACAAGTATGTGCAAATAATAAACAGTTGTATCATTAAGATCCAAAGTAAAGTGTATATCTATGTGTGAAGCACAGATTTATTTGATAAAATACAATCAATACTAAAGAAACATAATTTAATATATGTATATATCCATTTCATTTTCTTTTTTGATAAATTTACGGTGATAAAATACGCTATGAAGAGTATGCTGGCTAATGTGTGAAACAAATCCACCTTTTTACGATGGGGAATTGTTAAATTATATTGTTCGCTTATCCATAATAATTCAAATACTGGTAATGAACTTAAATTATTCAGGACTTTTTACATATTTAAATATTTATGGAATTACAGCATTATAATGGATCTATACTTATTCAACAGCAGATGTATTACTCACATATATATGAAAATAAATTCGTATATTTATTTAGGTTTTGATTCTGAAGGCAATAACTACTGTAACAACATTGAAATTTATATGATTGTTTTGCGTTTTACAATAACGTAAGTAGCAAATTCAAGTTTGTTTACATCTCAAGACGAAATAAGTGAAGAATAACGCGTTTGGGGTCCCTTTCAACTTTGAAAATCAAGTCTCAAAATATTTAGTTTTCATTTTTCTGGTAACTGTGAAATGTTATGAGAAATTATAAAATAATATTGGCAGTTCTCCAATATCCATAAACTTTGTGGTCAAAATAATGTAAACTGTAGATTTATTTATATTTTTCACACATTTATTTTAATTTATTCATTTCGTATATAAAATCGATAGCGTATGAACTTTTAAAAGAGTTATTCTGTATATAATGAGTAGAGTTTCAAAGAATCTGTTGTCTATCACCCTCAGGCCCCACTGACGAGTTGTGGTATTGACGAAAGGCCTCTTGGGCAGTGAATTGTGGGAGATAAGAGATATAGCTAAAAGTAAAATATTCATTTTACAAACCTGTGATTTTGTATCCGAAATAAACAAATTAAGAGAAAAGGTGGGGAGGGGGAAACTTCTTCAGTTGTCGTGTTTTTTAACACAAATTTTAGGCCTGTTGGTTTATAATGCTTCGCCAGCTTTCGATTTTTAAACTGTAACGTATAATTGATTCTGTTCTATAGAAGATAATAAATGCTCATATATTTCCATTTTTTGTTTAAAAAGGTTATCAAATTCAAACTTATAAGATTGGTTTTCAGGTTGGTATCTTGATATCCAAGTTGGGGTTGGAAAATGATCCTTTGTGCTAACTCTTTCATCAAGAAAGTTAGTTACAAGTGATATTGATAATGGGAATTTTTTTTTTCAGTCTACATCGAATTGCTAAGTATTTAACTAAATAACACTAACAAGGACATAAGTTTATCATGATGTAATTGAATGTTTGGTTGCACTCAAAATATAATGAAATTACAAATTTCCAATAACAAAAAACGTATATATCATATGTTACAGATTTCTTTTCAATTTCAGCAAAGGTAAGAAAAAAGGGAGAATCTGTGACGTAGAGGTCAAATGTTTTCTTTCTAACATTATTCAAATACCTAAGTTATCTTAGCCTTTATGTTAGTTTATTGGTGATTGAAAACGACTTAAATACCCCACTAACAAAATAACATCAGATATGTACGTTGGTATTTTCCCTAACATGCAGCCTAGATTCTGATAGTGCAGTTACACAATATTTTAATGGGGAAATTATAATGTTGAATTTTTGTTTGGATATATATATATATAGCTTGCAACCATTTATTTTGACCATAACATAAACGTCTATCATACATGATACTGTTACGTCTCTGTCTCTGCTTGTCTG